CACACACACACACACACACACACACACCCCAAACTCATGGATGAAACATGTTATCCAAAGGCTGAATTTCTTTGGAATAAGTGTCACTAGAAGTTTACATAATTGCTCTATATTAGCTGAAATTCATAATCATATAACCAAAAATATACTTTTTTTATAAAATAACACAATTTATTACTATTTTAAAACAAATCTCACAAAATAACATTCAGAAACTCAACATCTCTAAATAACGTAACACACAATAAGTTTAGTCATAAAGTCATGCTACAAAACTCTTGTGTATAAAAGATTATTACCAAAGTATTCATAGATGTTAAAATGTTCTTCAGAATGGAGTTGGTTCTAGAAGTCAAAGATTCTGGAATGCTGCTCATAATCATAACTGCCAGCCTGGGGGAAGAAGCTGGCTATGTGCACATGCTCTTAGCTTCCAACTCACCAGTCTTTTGATGGGAGTGATCCCTCTATGCAGTAGCACCTCAGAGGTAGGTACCCTACTGATCACAGAGGCAAAGAACCTCCCACCCATATAATGTTAGACAACTCTACATTAATTTAAAATCTAGAGGTGGGAAAGATAATTTGCAAAGCTTCTATTCTGAGTAGGAGAACTAGTTGACACGGTCCCCCAGAGGGATGATCTTGGATGCAACAGACATGGAAGACAACCCAAGTAGGAAAAAGAGAAATCCTGACTGTCGAAAGACAGTAACTACTCATGTGGGTTTAGAACGAGCAAGGGTGAGGTTGGATTCTCTAACATCTTAGTGCAGGCTAGATATTTACCCATCTGCCTATGGAAGTCCTTTCCACCAACGTCCAGTTGATAATTTTAAAGTGCAAATCTACTGAAAAATAGTTTACTCTCCCCCTCCCCCCATGTTAAATTTGCTAGATCATAATTTGGTTGGCTGGTTCTCCTCTAAACTGCCCAATATGGGAAATTAAATAGAATCCAGTTAATGATTTCTCCAAGTATCAAGTGAAAAGTTTTACCAATTTATCTTAAGTCAGAGAAAGGTAAGACTCAGTCTAATTCTTCCTTTCAGTTTTCTTCCATTACAGATTTATAAAATGCAGGAATAGATATACAGATATGGTATTTCTAAAAGTTCTGTGATTTTAAAACATAACCCTTAATTTTTGGAATTTCACTCATTTTATGGTTTACAAAAAGAAAACAATATGACACATGCTAGAGCAAAGATAAAGAAATACGGTCAAGTTAGCTTATCAGAAGAAGCACCAACTCTGCTACACTGAATCTTGTTTTTATATTTCATTATTTACAGACACATTAAACAACCACAAACAAAGAAAATCTGTGCCAAGGAAAGGAATTTCTGGTAGACAATAACATGCAATTTAGCAGTTTTCTTCCTTTACCAACAGAGTATATAAGGTCTTAGTGAACTGATGGTCTGACTGTGGTTAGAGAGAGACAAACTATTCATGATGGACACTTTAACACTTTCTCCTAAGGCTTTTAAGTTAATGATTAACTCCAACCTCTTTGGGCCCTATGCTTTTCCATTTAGCCCTAAGAAAAACCCAGGTAGAAGATTCCAATTTTCTATACACCTCACCAATTCTCAGAATAAGTCAACAGTCAAGAATCATTTCTTATTCTTCCTTATTCTGCTTCAGACCACTGGTAAAAGGTGTCAAAAGAAGTGCCTATTCAAGTTGAAATTTCTGTTTCCACACAGGAACCATTTTTTTTTTTTTTTCTTTTTGGGACAGAGACTCGCTCTGTCACCCAGGCTGGAGTACAGTTGCATGATCTCGGCTCACTGAAGCCTCGGCCTCCTGGGTTCAGGCAATTCTTCTGCCTTACCCTCCTGAGTAGCTGGGATTACAGGTATGCACTACCACACCCGGCTAACTTTTTATATTTTTAGTAGACATAGGGTTTCACCATGTTGGCCAGGCTGGTCTCAAACTCCTGACCTCAAGTGATCAGCCTACCTTGACCTCCCAAAGTGCTGGGATTACAGGCGTGAGCCACCATGCCCAACCAGGAGCCACATTTAGGTGCCATATACCACCATATGTGGAATGGATCCAGTAACCACACCAAGTTATAGACCAGTTATCTTAAGCAGACATTCTTCTGATCACACCCAGAAATCAGCTAACTTTCCTACAAGATTATCAAATTTTACACAGTATTTTCCTGTATTTAATGACTGCCACAGTCTGCAAAATTCTGTATATTATTAGACAATGAATGAATCTTAAAGAATGATGACCTACTTTCTAAAGCATATTCAAAATGTTAAACTTTAGAGACAAAGTAAAATAACATAAAGCTGGCTTCTGTTGATAGAAACAGAGAGGTAGGTTAATAATCACTGTCCTAAGAAGAGCAACAATGCTTAGAAATAAAAGTTGGAGACCCTGCTTCAAAAAAGATAAGTTGAATCTTCCAGCCCCGAGTTTCTAATATTACATGAAAATTGTGAAAATGAGCATTACAGCCGAGTGCAGTGGCTCACCCCTGTAATCCCAGCACTTTGGGAGGCTGAGGCAGGTGGATCACGAGGTCAGGAGTTTGAGACCAGCCTGGCCAATATGGTGAAACCCCTTATCTACTGAAAATGCAAAAATTAGCTGGGCATGGTGGCAGGCACTTGTAGTCCCAGCTACTCAGGAGGGTGAGGCAGAAGAATTGCTTGAACCCAAGAGGCAGAGGTTGCAGTGAGCAGAAGTCACGCCACTGCATTCCAACCTGGGCAACAGAGTGAGACTCCATTTCAAAAAAGAAAAAAAAAGAGCATTACGAAAAAGAAAATACCAGTAGCCATTTCTTTCCATCCATGATTATTAAATACATCACCTTTTCTCATATAACAATTCAAGTGGCACATGGCTACAGAGTGAAAATAAATGGACTCTGGACACAACTGATGTTGGCATAAAAAGCACAACTAAGGGAGAATTTGTTCCCACCCTCCTGCCCAAGGGACAGATGGCAATGTCTGGAGATATCTTTGTTGTCATGGCTGAGGAGGGGGTCTACTAGAATCGAGGGGGTCTACTAGAATCTAGTGGGCAGAGGCCAGGGATGCAGCTGACCATCTGAAGTACACAGGACAGCCCCCAACAACAATGAACTATCAATCCCAAAATGTTAACAGTTGCAAGGTTGATCCTCTGGTTTAAAGGAACAAATTCTTAACAGAGAACACAAAAACCTTCTAAGGGCTGTCTAGGCAATACAGCTCTAAGCTCAGAGTTAGGGAACAGAAAAGTTTAACTTCTTGGTAGACTAAAATCAAATTTGCTGTAAAAAATTAAAGTACTGGACTGATTCCAGAGTTTTACCATCACTTACAAGAACAGAAGAAATTTGGCTGGGTGCAGTGGCTCATGTCTGTAATCCCAGCACTTTGGGTTACCTGAGGTCAGGAGTTCAAGACAAGCCCGGCCAACATGGTGAAACCCCATCTCTACGAAAAATGCAAAAATTAGCCAGGCATGGTGGCACGTACCTGTGGTCTCAGCTATTTGGAAGGCTGAGGCAGGAGAATCGCTTGGACCCAGGAGTCAGAGGTTGCAGAGTGCCAAGGTAGCACCACTGCACTCCCGCTTGGGAGACAAAGTGAGACTCCGTCTCAAAAAACAAACAAACAAACAAACAAAACCAAGAATAGAAAAAATTTAAATGATCCACTAAAATGGCTTAATGGTTACACTGGAAGCACACAGAGAGAATCTATTCCAAGTAGGTCAAATATCTGATCCAAGAGGCATAAACCAAAGGCATTTATATCAGCTAAATTTGTACAGTAAAGGATAATTTAGGGAATGATTTGAGAGAATATCCTACGTTTCTTCATGCATCCCAACTTCCATTTTCTAATGGTGTGGGTTCCATGAACAGGGATGCATAGAAGTCATTCAAATATTTGTTGAATGATACGGAATATGAATTTACATGAAATGGACAGAGAAAAGTATCTTACATTTCTGAGAACTACTTGTAATTAAAGTCACTGAAGAACAAGGAGAAAGAGAATCAGTTTCTATATTACAGAATTCAGAAAAAAACACCAAAGCTCTAAGCCATTTTACAAATAAATTCAATATGAAATCATTTACTTCCTATTATATTCACTTCCAGGGTTACTTTTAGAAAACATACCCATAACAACATGGCTTCAAGCTTGCCTACTGGATGAAGTGCAAACTTTAAGAAGATCATCTTCCCTCTCAGTTTATGGACCTTTAACATCACCAAGGAGAATGAAGGCTCATTGCCTATGGTTCATAAAAGAAATGTCCAAAGGCTTTGAGTGCATAAACCAGCTAGAGGAGGGTAAGGTTTCTTCCTATCAGATTGTAAAGAAGAGAGAAAAGAAAGCTGAAAGGGTGTTAGCCCAAGTTTTCCCCTTGTTTGTATTTAGAGTTGATTGTCAAAGCAGTGGTCCCTTTTGATCAGAGTGACTTAGAAAAATCAAGTAATTCCTACATAAATGATAGTTAAAATCTTCTGAAACCCAGGATTACTTATGCAATCACTTTTAAAAATGATTCTCTCCTTTTTCACTGTGATTTTATGCAAGTAAAATCACACAAGTAGATGGGGAACAAGAATCAACCGTCTCTGAGGGACTTTAGGCACAATTTGGCAGAGGGTCCTGACTTCTTTTCTGCAATCTATTAGTGACTCAGCCATGGCCTCCTATGGACTTCATCTGCTCACTGACTACAATGTCTTACATTTTCCTGAAAAATTTTTTTACATGATAAATTCTAATCTCTCCATCTAACTATTGCTTTGCTATTTTGAGGTTAAACCACCTACACTACTTTATGTAGGAGACAATCCTCAAACCTATTGCCATTTGCCTAGGATCTCATAATGAAACATCTCTCTTCCCTCCACAACCACGTATATAATACATTTTAAGAGCTGTTTAACTTAGAACTTCTCAAAAAAATATATTTTGAAATACTAAGTTTCATCATATCCTTACTTATAACCATTACAATCACTTCTCCCAACAATGAGGGTCACCAGACCAAATCACTAGGGTAAATTTTGACATACATCAATGGCCAGCATTTAGGCTAGGAATTCAAATATAACTAATGATTTAAACATATAAGGAACTATAAAACCAAAATGCGTGCTTAAGGCCAGCTCCACGAGTAACATGGCCACGTTATTGGTCAAAGAAATGATCATGACAGTCATTTTAACCACTGACTTAGATCACAAAATGACTGACTGTACACAGTGACTCAAGTGGCCATGCATATAAAAACAACCTAAATTCCAGTTGACAATGTGCACATTTTTTGGAAAAACAAGTATAATCTAGACTAGAAGGCCTGTAAGATATTAATTTTTCCTTTTTTCACCATATCTTTTCCGATTGAACTTTGGAGCCTTGGCTTTATGGCTGCTATATTTCTTTTTTCTTTTTTTTAGTATTTATTTATTTCTAAGACAAACTCTTCTATCACCATGCTGCCTTCAGAGCTAAAGTCATGATATATTTGTGCTTCTGAATTGTAAGGAGACAGACCTTCAGGAAAGATGTTCTAAATTTTCAAATGCATATCTTTTAAAACGTCTAACTTAAAAAAATGAACAAACTGAAAAAAGAACATTTGTTCGTTTGTTATTAAAAATGACTGGTCTACAGGAAAAAAAAAAAGAAAAAAACAAAAAAGAAAGACAAAAAAAATTACTGCTCTACAAAGGTTTTAGTAGATGGGGCTATACAGTATATAACTGAGACTGAAGACAAAAACCGAAAATTTGTGGTTTCTAAAAAGAGGAATAGGATATATTAGGTTGGCATTACCAGTTTTGGGGAGAAACACTGAATAAGTTAAGGGGGGAAAAAGATGAGAATGAGTGATCTGTTTTATCTTAAGAAACTTTTGTCCCATACAGAATCTTTAAAATAGACAATTATATAAAATGTATCTATTGTTCTTATGACATTTAAATAAGTTAACACAAAGTGGAAAACGTGGCATTAGTTATCTTCTTCCTCATCCTCCTTAATTACTGGAGTACCTAAAATGAAAAAGAAAATTAGTACTGGTCATTTTCAACAAATTGCTAAAATTCTAGATGAAAATATTTTCCTGGCCAGGCACAGTTGCTCACGTCTGTAATCCCAGCACTTTGGGAGGCTGAGGCAGGTGGATCACGAGGTCAGGAGTTTGCGACCAGCCTGGCCAATATGGTGAAACCCATCTCTACTGAAAATACAAAACTTAGCTGGGGCATGGTGGCAGGCAGTTGTAATCCCAGTTACATGAGAAGCTGTGGCAGGAGAATTGCTTGAACCTAGGAGGCAGAAGTTGCAGTGAGCTGAGATTGCACCATTGTACTCCAGCCTGGGTGACAAGAGCAAAACTCTGTCTCAAAAAAAAAAAAAAAGAAGAAAATATTTTCCTGTTAACCTGAGGACCTCTGAGATACTATGAAGTGTGCCATAATAAAAATAATTTCACAAAATAATTTCTTTAATTTCAAATTCTCTGGAAAGCTTCTCAGGAGAATTCTCAAATGGTTTGGTACTGTATATATACTTATGAATATTAAGCCCCCTAACTGCCAAATTGCAAATAAAAATGCCTATGGCCAGGCATGGTGGCTCACTGCCTATAATTTCAGCATTTTGGGATGCCACAGTGAGAGGAACACTTAAGCCCAGGAGTTGGAGACAAGCCTGGGCAACATAGCAAGACCCCATTTCTTAAAAAAAAAAAAAAATAGCCAGGCATGGTGGTGTGAAACTGTAGTCTCCAGCTACTTTGGAGGCTGAGGTGGGAGAATCACTTGAGCCTGGGAGGTCAAGGCTGTGGCGAGCTGTGATTATGCCACTGCATTCCAGCCTGGGTGGCAAAGTGAGACCCAGTCTCAAAATAAAATAAAATAAACCAACAAGTACCAAGCAGAAAAATAAAGTGAGTTCTGTACACATTGCAAACTTTCTGCCAGGCGCGGTGGCTCACGCCTGTAATCCCAGCACTTTGGGAGGCTGAGGCGGATGGATCACCTGAGGTCAGGATTTCGAGACCACCCTGGCCGACAGAGTGAAACCCTGTCTCTACTAGAAATACAAAAAATTAGCTAGGCCTGGTGGCAGGCGCCTATAATTCCAGCTACTAGGAAGGCTCAGGCAGGAGACCAGTTGAACCTGGGAAGCAGAGGTTGCAGTGAGCCAAGATCATGCCACTGCATGTCAGCCTGGACAACAAGAGTGAGACTCTGTCTCAAAAAAAAAAAAAAAAAAAGCTTTCTATGTTAAGCATAAAGAAATATTCTTCATTTCCCACAATAAAATGTGTAATCACAGTATTGCAAAAAATCTGAACTCCTCTAATTGTTTAATGACCTCCCCCAGTTGCTGAACATTGGGGAGATATTAAAAAAAATAATCACTGTAGAGAAAACAAAACATATCTCTGGTTCTCACTGTGCCAAGGGCCACCCATTTCTGAGCTTTAGCATTTAAAGCCAGTTTGACCCCAGCTGACTATTCAGTCTTAACTATTCAGGCATTTACCCTGCACTCCAACTAATCTGATCAATTCACTGTCTCCCAAACTCATCTTGCACACTTTTACCTCTGGACAACTGGTTAACAAAGTTCTTTCATTTTTTTCCCCCCTTTTTTTTTTTTTTTTTTTTTTTTTAGCTGGGACTTCCTATGTTGCCCAGGCTGGACTTGAACTCCTGGGCTCAAAGGATCTTTTGCCTCAGCTTCCTGAGTAACTGGGTCTACAGGTGCATGCCACCACACCCAGCTTAAAATTCCTTCATTTTGTAATGTCCTCCTCAACTCTTCTCCCATCTGAATCCTACCCTTTATTGAGAACTAACTCCAGTGCCTCATTTCCTCAGTGATGCCTTCCAAGACGTCCACGTTCTTGATGGCAGTAAACATAATTTGACCTCTCTGTACACCCCACAGCAACTGTTTGTGGGACAAGTGAACTTTTTGTTGACACACAACAACCAAAGTGTACAAATTATAATGTACAGATTGATAAATGTTCATAAGGTGAACAAAAGCTAGTTACCAGCACCCAGATTTAAGAAAGAAAAGATTATCAGAACCTTAAAACTGCCTCAGGTCGCCTGCCAGTCACTACACCCACAAAAGATATATTCTATCCTAATATCTTAACACCATAGCCCATTTTCCTTGTTTTTTGTTTGTTTTTTAAGACAAGATCTTGCTCTGTCACCCAGGATGGAATGCAGTGATGTGATCACAGCTCGCTACAGTCTCAAACTCCCATACTCAAGCAATCTTCTTGCCTCAGCCTCCCAGATAGGATCACAGGAATGATATAGCATGTACTCTGTATCTGGCTTCTGTTTTGTTTTGTTTTCTTAAGATGTAATCTCGCTTTGTTGCCCAGGCTGGAGTGTGGTGGTGCGATCTTGGCTCACTGCAACCTCTGCCTCCCCGGTCCAAGTGATTCTCCTGCCTCAGCCTCCTGAGTAGCTGGGATTACAGGCATGTGCCACCATGCCTGGCTAATTTTTTTGTACTTTTAGTAGAGATGGGGTTTCACCATGTTGGTCAGGCTGGTCTCAAACTCCTGACCTCGTGATCTGCCTGCTTTGGCCTCCCAAAGTGCTGGATTATAGGCATGAGCCACCGTGCCCTGCCTGGCTTCTTATATTCAACATTATGTTTGTATGATTCATCCATGTTGTGTAAAATTGTAGTTCATTTATTGCTGTTTAATATTCCATTGTATGACTATGCCATAATTTATCTATCTATTCCATCTATCTATTCAAAATATTTAAGTTGTTTCTAATTTTTAGCTATTAAAATATTGCTACTATGAACATTCTCATAGGTGTCTTTTGGTAAACATACCCACCCTTTTCTTTGGGTTATGTAGTTAGGAAGGAAATTGCTGAGTCACAAGTAATGTACATGTAGAGCTTTTGTAGATAATGCCAATTTCCCAAAGTGGTTATACCAAGTTACGTTAGCATCCTACATGGTATAAGAGTTGCCTCACATCCTTACTAGCATTTGGTATTGTCTGTCTTTCTCACTTTAGATTTTAAAGATCCCTCAGTTTTGCTTATGAGCAATGGAAGAGAAACAAAAACAGGCAAGTTTGCAGCCGTGGCCATCTCTGTTCTGGACTATCCCACTGGTTTAGAAGAGACTGAGGTGGTTCTTCTAGGGCCTGTTCTGATTGACATGAAGTCAACACTTGGTCCAAAAGGCCATAAGGTAGCTGAATCTATTCAAATTCTACATGGAGGGTTCTATTTTATTCTTTTTTGTTTTGTTTTGTTTTGAGATGGAGTCTTGCTCTGTTGCCCAGGCTGGAGTGCAGTAGCATGATCTGGCTCACTACAACCTCTGCCTCCCAGGTTCAAGTGATTCTCCTGCCTCAGCCTCCCAAGTAGCTGGGATTACAGGTAACTACCACCACGTCCACCTAATTTTTCTACTTTTAGTAGAGATAGAATTTCACCAGGTTGGCCAGGCTGGTCTTGAACTCCTGACCTCAGGTGATCTGCCCACCTCAGCCTCCCAAAGTGCTGAGATTACAGGAGTGAATCACCACTACTGTTTTTTCTTTGACCCTTCCTTTCCAGTTTTTGAAGACACAGCAGGAAATGATCTTCTCTGAAGATACTTGATAAAAATTCCCCTAAAACAAAAACACATGCTTCTGCTTCATTGACAAAAATTTACTGCAGTTTTGCACCTAGATCTACTTCAGCTGGCAGATGAGCTGATTGATGCATTCACCCTGATAGCCAGGTGTGTCCATCTCCTTGAGGAAACCCATTCTATTTTTTGTAGCATGATGGGCCGCTGAGAGGTGGAAAGGGCACAAGAACCATAAGATCTTCTGGAAATGCTTCTCTGGGGAGGTAATTTCATGAATGAGGTCTACCAAGCAAATCGAGAGGTGAGACCCCTCACCTCCTTCTATTTCACCTCCTCCCTCCCCCTCCTTCCAGATGGGAAGGAGGGTGAAGAAGGAAAAAAATAAATAAATAAAATAAGATACCAAAGAGCTGGGAAAATGACTCCCTCTTTAGTTCCCAGCATCTCTGCTATCTGTCAACCTTGAAAGAGCTGCAAATGAATGTTATCTCTGCAGGCTGGAGCCTGGCACTGGTTCATGCCCCCACATCTCCATGGACCAGGCTCCCTCCTGGAAACACCTCTGCCAACAAACAGCTTGTTGCTTTTGTCTTGACTCTGTAAGCCCCCTTCCCTGCTGGTCCCCGCTCACACTGCATATGAATTAGCAAATCAATGAAGCCAAAAGATTGTAAGGTCGGATGTCCAGCAAATGGACAATGACATAGTTCTGCCTCAGTTTCCCCTTTAGCGTCGTAAGCCTATAAAAGGGGAGAGAAGCTGTAGCTTGGGGAGCTCAGTGAATGAGGCTGTAGCCCCCTGAAGCTCCTGGCCGAATAAAAAGCCACTTCCTCCCACAGTTTGGTGTTCAAGAGGTTTATTCCCTGCCGCTCCTGCTTCAAAATGACACCAAACTTCCCCAGGTACTCCTCAATCACTGTGTTGTCTGTCAGAGGGATGATCTTATTCTTTACTTTGGCTTGGCCATGTTTCGACAGACTTCAGATTTGGAAATCCCCAGTGTGAGATATGGAAGGTTTCTATTCAAACAGCCTGCTCAACCTTTCACTCTTTAATTCTCAGTACCCCACCATTTCTTCTCCTTTTCTTCTAACTTTACTACATGCCTAAGCATGCCACAGCACCAGTGACGTTATCAGCACCAGCTCACATCCCTTTCCCTAAGAAAAGACTACTAGCTCTCTAGTTCGCTGCAGACAACCTTTTCCTCCTTTCCCCTCTTTCTCATCATGCATCTACCTTATCTAAAAAAATTTAAATGTTTAGCCAATCAAATCCAGTTTAAATTGTGCAGTCCAACCCCAGCCAATAAAGAAAAGACACAAAAGCAAAAGTCGAATTAAAAATAAAAACTTCTACTCTCCTTTGTTCTGTGTGGTCTTGTAGCAACCAGTCATACAGGAGACACCCTTCTGCGCAAAAGTAAATTTGCTTTGCTAAAAAATCCTTTGTCTAAGTGCCCATTTTTCCTTAAGACTCCGAGCCTCATTTCTAACCATTCTGGTGGCCCGTACAGGGACTCCCATTCTCCTTTGGGAGGGGGTCTTCAGTCTCCCCATCCAGGGGGAGATGTGTCCCACTGTCTCATTGCAGTGGCCTCAGGGATGGGAGATTGAGACCTACCCGTTGTGATAAATAAATCCAAGCTCTATGCAACATGAAGAGGAATAGCTTGTAACACCACAGCGACTCACTGTGCATAGACCAAAGTAAAAAACATCACAAGGGTGACAAAGTATCTCCTTAGTAGTTGGGATATTCTGGAGGTTGAAAGTGTGTGAATAGTGCTAAGCACTACTGCTGTGCAAGATAAGTAAGTCCTCTCTGCAGTTTCATAGTCACCTCATCCAGCTTAAGGTAGAAGCAGCCAGAGTAGACAGAGAAAGAAGGGTACATTTCTAATATGAAGAATTAAGCCTTAACACAGCCTCAAGGGCAAGTAGTCAAGAGATTCCTAATACAAAGAATTGAGCCTCAAAGCCTCAGTAAGCTTCTAGAAAGAAGATGAGAAACCTCTAGTAGAAGTTGAACCCCACCCCCATACCACACAACCTCTGAGGTAAGAAACGTTTCAAGTAAGACAGAAAAAATAAAAAGTCAAAAAGGTAATGAAATTCCTTCTGATAGTCCCTTGAGGCTTATGTTAAAATATTAGAAAAATATAATATGCAGCATTTTTAGGTTCTGGGGGGTGACTTTTACAAACACTAAGAATTTTCTTTAGGCAAAGTCTTGTAATGGTTCTCTGCACCAGTAAACTCACACCATCAATCCTTTTGATGCATACAACAAAGGCCAAGAAGTGTTTATCTGGCAATTCCAAAGAGTAAGGTTTCACTACTAGTCGTCTGAGAAGTACTCTGTCACGTTTCTGCTGCCAGGAATCATGTAGGAATGATTCCAGTCATTTAAACCTGAGCTGTTTTTCTTTCCTCTGCTCCTTCTTTGCCCAAAGTGCCTGTTTTGCCTGGGTGGCTTTGAGGGTTGATAAGCCTTCCTCTTTTTCAGGAGATTCTCAGGAACCAAAGAGATTTTTATTTGCTCTTGCTCTGCCATCTTTCTAGTGTTGCAGCCACTGATCCAGACTGAATTTCTTAACAGCCAGCTAAACTGAATTGGGGAGGTATTATTCAAAGTAAAAATTGAGGTTGATTTATATTAAAATATACCTTATACATTTGCATTTTTGGATTTAAAATCTAAAATAATAATAGCTTTTTATTTTGTTTCTGAGACAGAATCTTGCTCTGTCACCCAGGCTGTAGTGCAGTGGTGCCATCTTAGCTCACTGCAGCCACTACCTCCCAGGTTCAAGCAATTCTCCCGCCTCAGTCTCCTGAGTAACTAGAATTACAGGCACCCACCATTAGGTCCAGCTAATTTTGTATTTTTAGTAGAGACAGAGTTTCACCATGTTGGCCAGGCTGGTCTCAAACTCCTGACCTCAAGCGATCCTCCCACCTTGGCCTCCCAAAGTGCTAGGATTGCAGACGTGAGCCACTGCACCAGCTGACAATAACATATATTTTGAATACTTACTTTATGCTATGCACAACATTTAGCATAGATTATCTCCATGTGTTCAGTGTTTCACATAGATTATTTCATTTAATCCTCATAATAATACTCTGATATATGTTCTAAAATGATTACTAATGGTACTATTATCATCTCCAATTTTTAGATTACAAACAAACAAGGTTTGGTGAGATTAATTAATTAGCACAATTTCACAAAAGCTATTAAGTGGAGGAGCTGGGCCTCGACTCAGTTAATCATGGTTATGTACTGATGCTGACACAGCTTAGATACTGGGAAACTAACATTGGGGATGAGGGGAGAGAAAGTGAGAGAGAACACTACAATTTTGATCCAATTGTAAAAAAGCAACTGTTTACCATGTATTTCTGATTATTCTGAAGAATCAGAATAATTTTTGATTCCGATCAAAATTTGTGACCTTTTGTCACCTTTCTGACTTGAGAACAAGTCTAGCTTTCTTTCATTTTTCAACTTGCTTCAATGAGCTAGAAGTTTATTTTTCTTTTACATAAAAGTACAAGTAGACAGTAGATAGACATGGATCTTTGTGTTGTCTGGAAGTCAGGATCCTTCTCTCTTACTGCTTGCATGGGTGGCCTCTTTGTGATTGAGGGAAGAGTGAGAAAAGGAGGCTCTGCACCAAACCCTGAATAATTCCAGCTTTAATCCAATGTAACAGCAGAAAATTTATATCAGGAAAAAAAATACACTTTTTTTTTTTTTTTTAAATAAACACAGGGTTTTTCTCATTATATTGTCAAGGCTGATCTCAAACTCTTGGCCTCAAGCAATCTCATGCCTCGTTGAGTAGCTTGGGACTACAGAAATGTGCCACTGTGACTAGCCCCACATAGATTTATAAGGCCTAGTTTTCTTATAAGCTTTTGCTCTAGGGAGAATCTTGTGCCAGTCTAAATATCCCAGCAGTTTTTCATCTCACCTTGGCCCAAACCTAGGTGAGACCATTCAATTTTTTATAGATAGAAATGACCTGGAAGATCAGGGGCATTTTTCTTTAGTTTTTCTCCTCTTCATGATTTCATGCCACAAATTCCTTTTTTTTTTTTTTTTTGAGACAAAGTCTTGCTCTGTCGCCCAGGATGGCATGCAATGGTGTAATCTCGGCTCACTGCAAACTCTGCCTCCCAGGTTCAAGCGATTATCCTGCCTCCGCCTCCAGAGTAGCTGGGATTACAGGTGTGCAGCACCATGCCTGGCTAATTTTTGTATTTTTAGTAGAGATGGGGTTTCACCATGTTGGTCAGGCTGGTCTCGAACTCCTGACCTTGTGATCTGCCCATCTCAGCCTCCTAAAGTGCTGGGATTACAGGTGTGAGCCACCACGCCCAGCCTACACAGATTCCATTTTTATGCCTAGAAAACATGTCCAAACCAGCTCAGAATCACTCACCATCCAGCTTTTTCAGTTTGGGCACTCTCTTGGTTGCTTCTTCAATCCAGTTGTTCTCAGCAGAATGTTTCTCTTCCAAGGGATTGCCTACAAACACCAGGTCTTCCAGGCATGGCAGTTCTGCCAGCTTCACAAACTCAGC